TAGTTTATTCTAGATGCAGATCAAAGTCAGAGCCGATAAATAAGTTACTCATTCATTTAGTTTCAGAGTTGTCTCTCAATATGGTACCGTATGATTCACTTTTAGCAAGTGCAGATACGTCTATTGAATGAAATGCACATATATAGAGTTGTGCTTTGTGTAACCGTATCGTTAACTATTTGTTGTGTCGATGCTAGCATTGGAGAATCGAGGTAAGTTTTCGCGATAGAACCAATTTCTGTCAGATTTGTAAATCTTAGCAAGGTCGTAAAAGCTTTTGTGTTGTTATCTTCTGACTAAATGCAACCTAACCATATTCTGTCTTCTTATTTTCCATTCTTTTAGTATAAATCATACTTATAGCTCTCTTTTCCTTTCCTTTTGGTACGAACGTGGTATTCTTTTCTGAAGCTTTTGTCTTTTGCTTCAAGCTTGTTTTCTATCTCTTCACGTTCTGGTCTATGAATTTCATCTAAACATCATGAAATATAACAAGCATAAGAGGTGAGCCCACATGCACCAGCATTTACAAGAAGTCTATGTAACATACCAGCCTCTCAAACATTTGACAATATTTTTACGATTTTCGTACGGAATCTCGACCCTCGGTTTTTCGAGGGTCGCAAACATATGAGGAAATTCTTCTAAAAGTTCTTTGTCTGTTGGTTTTCAAACCAATGATTGCTTGCTTTGTAGACGAAGAGCATTTCAAATACTTTGCATTTGTACATATCGTCTTTGACGAACGAGATGAGACGGAGTTGTGTTGTTAAACTGATGTATGTCACTGCATGATATATCATCATAGCATCATATTTTCTTATGTCATGGTGTTCTCGCGTGTTTGCCATTAGTTCTTGTGACATCAAATAAAAAAAAATATTTTATAAAAAACGTACGTTATTTCCTCGCTTATTTCACAAGTACCAAAAATAAACGCCTTTACATTATTTCAGCAATCCGTCAAATAATTTATACGGCCTTTATCTAATCTGCTCTACTTATAATCACGTTTCTTTACCTTTCAATGTGGAGAGCACCATTACACTTTTGCTATCACGGATAAACTTCTTTCAAGTAGTTCTGTTCTGCAGCGTCTCATATCGTTAACGAAACACAACCTTGACTCTATATTGACTGTACTGTATATCTTAGAGTTATATTAAGGTTGTTCTCCTATCTTATATCGTCTTGGTATTGAAGTCCTCGTTTCTGACCGATGTAAAGTAAGCCTTCACTGCAACGTTCCATATCGAATGAACCATATGTTATGAGTTATATCCAACAACTGGGTCTAACCATAAAAACTATGGTATGAGACTTTTGTCTACTCGAGATTATGCCTTATGTTCCATAGAATCTTACCGATACATAAGAGCTCAGGATTTCTTGTCGAAAATTTCATGATTGAAGCAAATTCTAACCCAGTCGTGTGTTTCTTTCCAGATGGAAATATAATGTCTGACAAGAATATTTGTTGTATTTCTTTGAGTATCTACGTTTAAATCACCTATTCACACATTTGGTGTCATTGGCTAATCTTTTAACTGTTTCAACTCCAATCCTTTAACATTTTCTGTCTTTTACATACAAGGATAAAAATATTTTTTTTAAAAAAAACTAACGTTATTTTTTTTATTTTGTATAAAAAGATATGATTTCAGGGAGTTTTTTTACGAAGTTGTCAAAGTTCATCCGTCAAATATAACAGTTTATATAATGAAATTGTGTCATTTTTCAGCAAAAATATATTTTAGGGTAGATGGTTAGATCTAACCCGTTTTCTCACCTGTTTTCTACCTCGTGAATTTTCATGAATTTTTCCCGAAAAATAAAAAATAAAGTTATTTTATTTTCATTTTTTTCATTTGACGAGAATGTCGGTAGAAGGTAGAATCTTAACTAATTTTCTCACTCTTGTTTTCTAACATGGTCTTAAAACACAACAAAACTCATGATTTTTGGTCATTTTTCCAGCAAAAATATATTTTAGGGTAGAAGTTAGATCTAACCTGTTTTCTGCACCGTGTTTTACCTCCACGTTTATTTTATTAAGCGTTTCAAATGGTAAACGTATTTTTAAATTTTGGTGAAAACTCAACGGTTGACACAAGCCCTAAAAATTATTTTACTCAGAATTTTGGTCATTTTTCAGCAAAAATATATTTTAGGTAGAAGGTTAGATCTAACCTGTTTTCTAACCTCTTTCTACCCCAGTTATTTTATAAGCGTTTTACATGGTAAACGTTATGAATTCGTGAGACTCTAAACAGTTTTGTAGCCTCTATTTCTTCTCTTTAGTACTCGAATGTTTTAACTATGCCGAAGGTTCTTTATATTCTTCTTGACGTCAGATAGAAGGAAATCCTTCTGCTGTTGGATAGTTTTTGTTCAGAAATGCTAACATGTCCATTTTATCTTCTGCTGGCTTTTCTGCTTCTTTCTTTAAGTCTGCATAGTCGTTTCTCATTCTTTCTATCTCTTTGACGGAGTAGTTATATCTCCTCATTGCTGCTATTACATTTAGAACATTGCGGGTTCATTTTTGCGTTATATTTCTGAAACCCTTACCTGCTAAAACAACTAAAGCGTCAATGGTTTCTTTAACTCAAAAGCTGCTGGTTTTATATCTGTTTTTCATACTTACATCTTTTATCTTTATCTCTTTATCTGCCATACACATTCAGCAACTAACGAAACAAGTTGTCGTTAGGTCTTAAATTCTTCAGATTTAATATATGTCAGAAACATTCTTATATACCATGTCGCAATCTTTGTCCATATAACCTATGGTTGCAATGAAATCCTAGAAACCTCATAGTTTACCTTTCGTATGAACTTCTTTATTTCTACTAAGTCAGTTGCTTTGACTTCAATTTCGTCGAATTCAGGAATAGTTAGTTTTTGTTGTTGGATTTCAGGCAATTTGGGCAAATGGTCGTATGAGGTCCTCCATTTATAAAGATACTGTTCATTTGTTTCATCTTTCGCACTACAGTCTAAATTACATGTTAAAAGTTCTTGCTTTATCTTCTGGATTTCTGTTTCAAAAGTATATGAAGAAGGAATGAAGCTTTTCATCTCTACTAACATTGACGTAGGATTCATGACTAACGAGTTTGGTGCTGTTTGTTTGAAGTGTTGTTGCTTCGACTGACATTTCTGTTCTTACATACAAAATAAAAAAAAATAAAAAAATAAAACTAACTTTATTTTTTTATTTCGGGAAAATTCATGAAAATTCAAGAGGGTAGAAAACAGGTTAGAAAACAGGTTAGATCTAACCTTCTACCCTAAATTATATTTTTGGGTCCTTTACACTCATTACGAAGAAGTCTTGACAAAACATTTACGAAGAAGTCATGAAAATTCAAGAGGTTTAGAAAACAGGTGAGAAAACAGGTGAGATCAAAATGCTAACATAAAACTTTATTTTTGGTGTAAATTTCATGATTTTCGAGAGTTTTAGACCATGTTAGAAAACGTGTTAGAAACGTGTTAGATCTAACATTCTAACATAAACTTTATTTTTGGTGTAAATTTCATGATTTTCGGAGTTTTAGACCATGTTAGAAAACGTGTTAGAAAACAGGTGAGATCTAACATGCTAACATAAACTTTATTTTGGTGAATCAATAAAAATAATGGTTCATTTACTCACAATATTTTTGTACAAAACAACCCCAACAACTTTAACTTCTTTTCTGCAGCTTCAAATGCTATCTAGCGAGTTCATATTCTCTAAATTCTCTCTTTAAATCTTCTGTTCCCATTGGTCTAGTTCGTATGGAGAATTTCTATAACCATAACATATCTCACGTTCTGTTCTAATTGTTTTTCGCACATTTTTCCAACTTCTTCTTCAAACAAAGGTTTAGCATTCTCTTACTGTATCTTCGAGTTCTTCTTCATCTAACTTCTCATGAACTTTCTTGTCTATGGAGTCCATAATTTTCCACACTGCTATGCAATATTTTGGAGAAAGCCACATTGCTATATAGTTTATAAGTCTTGGGTCTACATACGTTCCTCTAACCTGTTTGATTTCATCAGGAATTCCGGCATGAATTTTGTATAAAAAGCAACGGTCTGAATTCCGGCGGTTGCTATATTCTTCACAAAATGCCTTATAATACTCTTCCCAGGACTTATTTTCCAACAACTTTCTAAAGTCTTTCCTAAACTGCTGACACATATTTGTTGCATTAATGTAACCATCCTTGTCTCTACGTAGACTTCAATACCATTATAAGTGCCTTTTGTGAATGTTTCGCCATTAGATTTGTTAGTGAATGTTTTTTGCTTCGATTGACATTTCTGTTCTTACCTACAAGATAAAAAGTTAGGAAAAAAAATAAAACTAACGTTATTTTTTCTGTCTTAAGGAAATTCATGAAAATTCAAGAGGGTGAAAAAAGAGGTGACAAAACATTTACGATGAAGTCTTGACAAAACATTTACGAAGAAGTCTTGACAAAACATTTACGAAGAAGTCTTGAAAATTCAAGAGGGTAGAAAACAGGTTAGAAAACAGGTTAGATCTAACCTTCTACCCTAAATTATATTTTTGGGTCCTTTACACTCATACGAAGAAGTCTTGACAAAACATGTACGATGAAATCATGAAAATTCAAGAGGTTAGAAATGAGGTTAGAAATGAGGTTAGATCTAACCTTCTACCCTAAACATTATTTTTGCTGAATTCAGCAACAAAATGAACGAGGTCAGGATGTATGCAAATACCTTTGAATTCATTCATAACACCCTTTGTAAGCTCATAAAATGCTTGTTTTGAGGTCGAGCCACTTTTGGCTCCACCGTATTCTTTCAACCAAAACTCAAGAATTTCCCGCTAATTTTGTATAAAAAGCAACCGTCTGAATTCCGGGTGTTGCTATATTCTTCACAAAACATTTACGTTTAGTTTACGAAGAAGTCATGACAAAGTTATGAGGGTGAGAAAACGTGTTAGAAAACGTGTTAGATCTAACATGTTAACATAAATTATATTTTTGGTCCGGGAACAACTTCTCTCAATTGGAGCTGTAGCATACTCTTTGCGTAAGCGGTTCGACTTCTTCGAACTCTTGGTCTCTCTTCGATTTGGACTGAGATTGGAATTGCTGGGGTGGAGCTTGCTGGAACATCCAAGGGTTGGGGCAGTAAGGCATAGGCGAGGAGGGTAGTTCGGGAAGCCTTGTGGTGGGTAGTAACCTTGAAGTGGAAATTGGTAGAAATTCGGAGGTACTTGCTGGAACTGAGGTTGCTGAGGAGACTGTTGTGGTTCTTTAGGTTCCTCTGGTTTGGGAATGGACTCGGTTGGTGGGACGTCAGTCATCTGTTTGTGTCCTGTCGGAAGGAAAAAACTTTTTCTGTCGGAAGGAAAAACTTTTTCTGTCGGAAGGAAAAACTTTTCTGTCGAAGGAAAAACTTTTTCTGTTGGAAGGAAGAACTTTTTCTGAAGTTCGACCAAAAAGTTCTCAATTTTCGAAAATTTGAATGGTTTACGGACGGACAACTGGAAGAGTTCTTCTGTCGTCGGGAAAAATTTTTCCAGTTGTCGGGAAAAATTTTTCAGTTGTCGGAAAATTTTTTCCAGTTGTCGGGAAAATATTTTTCCTGTCGGATGGAAGGACTCGGAATGCCAGAAGGATTTGACGAGGCAAATTTACCTAATTTAAATTAACGACTGCGTAAAAGACTACTTGCGCAAGGTCATGAAGCCCAAGGTCAAGTTACACCATCTTTTCTGGAAGGGCTGCCTTGAATCTCGAGACTTCGACCGAAATTCCAATTCAAATACCAGAAAACACTCCTTTCGACGACATAAAGGACGCCAAAAGAGAAGCTCTTGTTAAGTTCCTAACAAACGTCCTTGGATAAAAATACCAAACAAGGAGAACCCCCTACCCCATATGAAATTGGCAATTCAGTCTCTCCTTCGCTTCTCGGGTCAACCATTCTACATAACCTGTGAAGGCGACATCCAACCAGTTCAGTAAACCTTAACGTTTAACTTCACTTTTTATGTTTTTTGTGAAAGTTTTAAAATAAATTGTTTTCGAGAGTTTTAGACCATGTTAGAAATGAGGTTAGAAAACGTGTTAGATCTAACATGCTACCCTAAAAGATTTTTCAATACTTTTTCAGCACTTTTCCGTAGTTATATATGAAAGACAATTCGAGATAAAAGTCATAGTACAATGGAATAATATGTTGCACACCACTTTGTTGTGAACCAAACTTGAAAGTCAGAGAAACTGTTACTAGGTGGTTCGTAGAATTTAGAAGCAAAGTCATAAAAGATCCTTACCAATACATGAAAAACTATTGTTCTTGAACTGAACTTGCATGACACATAACATTTTGAGGGTTCAAACACGTTTTCTATAAACTGTCAAATCTGCTGGTGGAAGTATAAATTTAAATGGACCATCTGGTGGTAATGGTTCGTTTCTGGTTTAGTAACCGAAGAAATTGTGCCCAAGAACGTTTGTCTACTTTCCAAAATAAAAACTCTGTATCTCTTGGAGGGTTAATTTCAATCTTTTGAAATGAAACGGTGGAGTTCATCTTGTCATATTCTAGTTTCAGATAGTATGTTCCATTTAGTAAAGAGTCGTATTTTTCTTGAAATTCCCAATAAATATTTGTTCATTTGAGTTGAAAGTCATTTAGAGTTTTCTCAAGACTTTCGTCTAACGACTGTAAAGATTCTCATTTCGTCAAATTTGTCTATAGACCTCAGAACCTTTATACTGCCCATGAAAATATACTGGCGAACATAAATGCGTTAGTTCTATTTGAAAACAAAACTCTTCTAAATCCTATTGCCTTTGCATCTGAAGGACTTTGAAGCCAACGAATTGGATAGTCAAACCTGTATGCTCGGGATGAAATTTCTTCATCTGAAATAGTCCTACCAGCATTTGTATAGATATAGTCTAACGGTTTTGTATCTACTACTTTTGTTCTTTGTTTTTCAACCTGAAGCATTTAATATATGTAAAAATATATTGTTAAAATGGTATGCCATTTCATATTTCTCATCTAACAAACAAGTTTCCCAACGGTCTTCTCCAACAAACTCAGCGTACATTTCAAATAAAAATAAAAAAATATTTTTTTCCTTTACTTTACATAACCGCCTGCTGCCATAGTCTTTGACGCCAACCCATACCAGCTAATGAAGGTTGACTTGGTTTAGTTTTGGAACTAAACTTTGGTTTTGGTTTATTCTTCAGTTTTTGGTTTTTCTTCTTCTAGTCGTTTTTTCGTCACTTTTCGTTTCCTCTGACTTTACTTCACTTGCAGGAACAGTTGTGTCGTCAACATCTTCATAAATATCATATGCCATTTGTTTTGTTTTCCTTTCAACTTTTTGTGTTTGTTGTAAAGTTTAGAATATTCGACTCTAAGTCAATGAGATGTTCTATAAATGAACTGTTGGTCAGTGAAGTAAACTTTTCCATCTGTTGTCTCGAAAGCTCCTTCAGACTTCAATATTTTATTTGTGAGAGTCTGTTTCTTTTTTGAGATACTTGCCGTTCCATTTTATGAAAAGTGACTTTGTAGTTAGGGTTTGTATTTCCAGACCTGGCACTTTCTATATTGAAATTTTTCTCTTCATCTGTAAGTTTCTTGACAGGTTTTGACAATGGTTCTGAACTTTTTTTTTGTGTGTCAAATCTACCGTTTCAACTTCTTCGGTCATTTCATCTCAGTAAAAAATTTTAGTTTGGTTTGTTTTTCAACTGGTTGTTTAGGTTTTTTTAAGTCGGTCTAAAACTTCCTGAGGTATAGGAAGAACTTGACAAACACGTTGTGTAACTGCTGGAAGCCGACAAATCCATCTTGAACCATTTGTCTCAATGCTGTATTGTTCATTTCATCTCAGTAAAAAACTTTACATTCCCCACGTTTGAGGCGGTTGAGGTTGGTTATTGTTTACCCATTGTTGTGCATGGTTATATCCTCTGTTAAAGAATCTTCACCTTGGTCCATTATAGTGTCCTGCTTGGTTATAGTAGTCATTTTGCTTTGTTATAATAGTTTCCTGCTTGTCTTCCTACATGTCCATCCATCCTTGAACTTTCTCTTGTTCAGGATTTGGAATAAGATTTGTTGCATCTCGTGCTACATCCCAACCTTTCTGTACAGTTTGTATAATAGGTTGTGCTTTCTCTTTAAGTATACCTAATGTACTCAAAAATCTTCCTTCCAACTCCAAATACACCTCTGGCTATTGTTCCCACTGCGGGTAAAAAATCTGGATGCAACTCCTGCTAACGCGCCAAATAAACCCATTTTCTTATGGGTTAAAAAATGACGAATCCAAACAAGGACCCCTATGTTTTCTAAAGCGACAAAGAAAGCACTCATGATAAAAAATCTTTAGTTCAACACAAAATGCTTGGTTTATGGATATCTTGGAAAACCATTCCGAGAGTTAGAACAGATGGACCTCCATACTGTTAATATTTGTTGGTCAAAACACAAGATACTGTGAAGCCATACCATTATGGTCCAAAAATATTTTAGATGTGAAAACTGCTTTGACAATATTCGTTGACAAATACCATCCAACAAAACTGACATCTGACTGTGAAAGTTCTTTCAAATCAGATGATGTAAAAAACTATCTGCGTTCAAAAAATGTAAACAATATTTCATTGTCGACCAAAACCATTCTGCTCTTGGTGTCATTGACGGTTGTATAAAAATGTTAAGAGACTTAAACCAACCACAAGGTGGTGAAGCAAATGAAATGTCATATGACGACAAATATAGACACTTCTCCATGGCAAAGATGAGACAAGTTTTAAAATATTACAATAGCCGTAAACAAAAAGGTTGGGAAACCACTCCCCCGAAGAAATGAAAAACAACCCTGACTTAGAGAAAGACTAATATTTAATAATTTAGTCAAAAGAGACAAACAAGAAAGAATGCCGGGCTTCAAACTTCAGAAAAGGTGACAAAGTAAAAATAGAAATACCTAAACGCGACCCATATGAAAATACTATTGACTATGACAACAATGGGAACCCGACAGGTACTCACATTCGTGTTCGTAAAAATAGAGGAAAGTATACAGAGAAATATTATGAAGTTTTAGGCAAACATGGCAAAATGTACACACTGCAAGCAGAAGATAAAACTACTATTGTCAGACCTCGTTTCAAACTTGTCAAAGTTCAAGGTGGTATACTTTCAAAGACAGTTCCTAACAAAATATAAGACAACTCCTGACGAATATGCTAAAGAAAGTTGAAAATGAACGACTAAGCAATTCTATACATGCGTAAACTGTCATGTAAGGTGCATGTAGTCTTTACTTTGTCCCGTTGTTTGCGAATATCCCGAAACGCCGATGTGTATGGTTTCCTCCTCCTCAGTGTTACTCCAGTAACAATTTATAGCAAATTAACGTTGTCTTTAACATCATATCCTTTACCTTTTGTCATGCTGACCAATCCCAATATCTATGCTTATGCCAACCTGCTTGAGATGTACTTAATCTATGTAGTGACTGTGTGCAGGTAAATTTTCACCTGAAATCGTTTTACTTCACACTGTTTCCTTTGAAGAGTTTTTGCACAAATCAAAAAACCTGTCGACTATTTGAGTCCAAGTTCCAAAACCTAAAACTGTTGCTGGATTTGTTGAATTCATTGACGTATAAATAGAGCCTGCAGGATATAATGTTTTGAATTATTTCATCTTTAATGTTTGAAGCTCTGTTTTGTCAGCCTTCTTATCTAACATTGCTGGTAGTTCATATGCTTCAAAGTTTCTGGCATGACTTTCAATGTTCCTGCAACTGTTATCTAAATTGTTTGTGTATTTTTTACTCTTGTACTTGGATTCTCTAAAGGTGCACTTGAACCAAGGTCAAAGTTCAAATATAATGTCGTCTGCTGTAAAAGTTGTAAAACTTGTATGTGTATGAGTCTTATTTGCTTTCTTCTCTAACTCATCGTTAACATAAGTTTTATTCTGCTTTAAGGTCTAACATCCTGAAACCATCCTGTATCGGCTTTACTTTTTAAAATCTTCGATGTCCATTCATGATACCATTCAGCCCTTTCTATAATTTCATTATCTTTTTCATCCACATATTCCTTTACTGCTTTCTTCTCTAACTTACTAGCCACATATTCCTTATCCGCTTTCTTTTCAAGGCTAACGTTTAAGTCTGTTATTTCAGATATAAGATGTATATGAGTCTTTTAGAATATCGTTTTCAGCTCTTGTCACTTCACTTGACATTTTATTGTCAACATATGTTTTTGTCTGCTAGTTCAGGATGAGTATGTTCTTTTGTTGCATAAGCAT